AAATCCTTGACAGCTTGGACCTTTTTGCCATTTACTCTGTGAGGTTTCCTATTGATCCAGTTGTGAGGGTGTTTTCTTTACATTGAGTTGTCATCCATACTGAAGGCTGCAATCCTTGATCTTCATCAGCAAGTACTTCAAGTCCTCCTCACTTTCAGCAAGCAAGGTTGTGTCATCTCCATATTGAGGATTGTTAATAAACTTTCCTCCAATTCTGGTGCCAAATTCTTCTTCAGTAATCAGCTTCTCTGATGATTTGCTCAGCATTCTGTTTGAATCAGTATGATTAGAGGATACAACCCTGATGCACACCTTTCCTGATTTGAGACCATGCAATAGTCCTTTGTTCACACAACTGCCCCTTGATCCATGTACTGGTTCTGTGTGAGCACAATGAAGTGTTCTGCAACTCCCATTCTTCTCAAGGCTATCCATAGTTTGTGATGATCCACATAAAGTGTAGGGGGCAGTGTCATCTACATTTGGAATCACTGGTCTATGTGGCAAATCCCTTTGTTCCCCAGACTTCACACCTTTTTCCTGGTAATAAGAGGAAATGTTATTAGATGCAAAGGTAAAGTAGCTGTGCAATCTCAGTCTTTTAAGGAAGATTGTCCCTGATTTCTAAGGCAAATAATTAAAAAGAAACCCAACAACTTAGTTAGTCTTTTCTGTCTTTAGTTAATTAGTAATATGGGTGTGCTATAGCTTCATAGTTTACCCCATCTCTACTATGGAGGCACAGATGCTCTGACTAGCTATATTCTAAAGTAATAATCCATTGAACGCCATACAGTCTATCCATTCATTATGTATATATTGAATACCTTCTGTGTTCAATACACCACATTCTCTTCAAGACCTTGGAGCTATTTGTTCTAGAGAACAGGCTGGAACATTTTTTGGACAAATACATGGAAAGAAAACAGACTGGGGCATAGGCCAACTTTAATTTGTGCCAAAAGGAGAGGAGGGCGTCTGTTAGCAATGTGCTCTTGTGACATTGCTTGCGCTAGAGCGTGATGGCTGAAGACTCTTGTTTGTTTTATTGGCACCTCATTCACGTATCATGCAATTTAATAGTTCAGTCATATCCAAGAGAGCTGTGCAGTCAATACCACAATTAATTTTAGAACATTTTCTTTTTCTTTGTACTCATTGTTATTATTATTATTATTATTTTTAAGATCATTCTATTGGGGGCTCTTACAGCTCTTATAATAATCCATACATCAATTGTATCCAGCATATTTTACATATGTTGCTATTATTTTAATTGTGGCAAAAATATATGTAACAAAACATTCTCCAATTCAATAACTTGTATAATTCATTGCCATTGATTATACTTTTTGTGTTGTGCAATCGTTATTGATATCCTTTTCCAAATTTTACCACCACCATTAACATAAACTCAATGCCCCTAAGCAAAAACTCTTCCTCCTTCACCCATGGTAACCATTGGTCAACTTTAGCTTCTTTGGGTTTTTTAGTGGTTTTCTTGTTGTAAAATTCATTCATCAAACACCTCCATAGGTAAGCCACTTTTAAAAGAGTTGTGTATACACCATCACAGTCAGGGCTAGTGCTCCCTCGCCGCTCCCACATGCGTTGTTTGCTCCCCAGCTCCCCTCACCGTCCCCACCCCCACCAACTGCTGCATGCCTCTCTGCACGGACCTTTCGTGGTGATTGTTTTCTTTCCCATTTGAAACCTGTTGTCAACATGGCCCATTTGGCAATGAGATAAAGGATTGTTTGATTTACTTTAGACTTAAAAAAAAAATTATATCTTTAAAACTTTGTATTAGACGAGGGGGCTTCAAAAAGTTCATGAGAAATGGAATTAAAAGATAATGGATTTTTTTCCATGAACCTTTTGAGTCCCCATCATATAGGTAATATACACTCATTGTAGAAAAAGTAATAACAAAAAAAATAATAGTAGAGAAGCAAAACCAAAATATGATTCCTTCATAACTTGACCCTTCAGGTCAGGAATTGCAAACTGTGGGTCAAACCCAGGTCACAAACCTCATTTTGTTAGGATTTTTTTTTTGTAAAATGTTTTTTGAAGGCTAGCCTATACCCTCCAACTCTCTTTCAACCATCAGCTATCTCTTTATCCAGCATCTCACGTGACAGTAGTGGGAAAAACCTTTCCCACTATTTTGCTTGCGCATTAACAAGACCAGGGGCACGGTGGAGCCCCCTACCTTAAGAAGGGTCCCTGGGTGACCTCTAGGAAGCTTGTCCCTGGACCTCTGCTCTCCCTACCAGTGGGCCTGTCCCCCATCTGTGGCTGTGGCCTCCAGCAGGTGCCTGTTCAGGGGTCCCAGCTCCCTTGGCAACCTGAGGCCCTTCGGCTCAAATTTGCTGTGGGGTTGGAAGGAAAAGAAGAGAGGCATTAGAGAGCATGCTGGAAGAAATGAGTGGGCATTTGATATCCCAAAGTGAGCAGAGCTGAGCCGGAAGCCTCTGCCTCAGTGGGGCTGGGGGCTGGGCCAGGCCCAGAGCCAGGTGCCCAACACAGTTGCAGGAAGCCCTGAGCACAGAGCAAGCTCCTGGATTTGCACACACACTTGCTGGGGTGGGGGTGGGGTGGGGGGAGTCCTGAAAGTGTTTGCTCACCCACTGGGCTGTGTCTTTGTATTGCTTTTTGTTGGGAGCCTTCTGAGAAAAGTGTCATAAAGATTCTCATGTGTGTCTTCTAGAGGACACGCTCCCTCTTTTTTTAACTGTGTATGTTGAATTCATTTTGTTGTTGAGAATATACCACGTTCAGGTGGTCCCCGACTTAAAACACTGTGCCATGCTGAGGAACCTGCCCTCAGTCAGTCCTACCATTCAGTCAAGTCAGTGTCTCATGTTTTGTTTTCATTATCACTGCCTTTGATGATCATTTTCTTTATAAATCCTGTCTTTCTGTGTGGTCTTCCGTGTTTGGAAACAGGATGTATAAATGTCACCGACACATTTTCACTAAAATACACAAATCACATGCAGACATTAAAAGGCACACAAATCATAAAAAATACCCCTGGAGATGAAGAAAAGGGACAGCACTGGCATTTTGTCAGTGCCAGCGACTCACTTCTGCCTCTGAGTTTTGCCTTTTCCAGAATGTTCAGTAAGTGGGGTCATCCAGTAGCCTTTTGAGCCGCTGATTTCACTGGGTAGAACGTTGCAATTAAAGCTGTAGTCGCGTCTATTGGTGGAGGTTCGTGCCTCCCTGTTTCTGAGCCGTTTATTCAGTCACCACTTGTGCACACTTGGGTCATCTCCAGTTTTTCGCAGTGAGGAATAAAGCCAGCATAGATACGCGCGTACAGGTGTTTGTGTGAGCACGTTTCCCTTGCTCTCGGGGAAGCACCTAGGAGTGGGCTTGCGTGTGACTCTTTAAGAGCCGACCCTACTGGTTTCCGAGGGGAGGGACCACATTGCGGTCCCTCTGGCATAGAGTGCTGCCAGTAATCCTAACCGGTGTGTACTATCTTGTCATGGTTTTTATTTGTATCTCTGGGTGCCTAATGAAGTTGAACACCATTTCATGTGCTTTTTGCGGGGGCACTTGCAGTGTCTCAGTTATAACCTGCCTGTGTGTGTTATTGGCCCAGTCTTGTATTCGTCAACTCCCCAAACCAAACTCACTGCCACTGAATCAATTCTGACTCATAGCAAGCCTGTAAAACTGAAGGTCTTCCTATATTCTGTAGTCAAGGCTTTTGCCTTATCTATGTATGGTGAATATTTTCTCTCCATCTATCTGCTTCTACTGTTTTGAAATTAGTTTGTTTATTTTTACCAATATCGCCATCATCCAGTTCACATCTCACACATTTCAGTAGTTCAGTCCCATTCGTAAGTGTCATGCGGCCTTCACCACAGTCAATTCCAGGGCATTGCTGTGCCTTGTCCTCCTGGTGTTAGCTCTGCACTCTCTGCCAGCCTCCTGCTCGTGTCCCTTTGAACCTATAGATCCAGTTGTTATCTCCGTCTGCCTCCACTTTTTGAAAACAAAATGTGTTGAAAGATCATCTGTAGCTGCTTTCCAGCTACAAGGACTGAGTTGAGTAAGTGCAGCAGAGACTAAATGGCCCTCAAAGCCTAAAATATTTAGCCTCTGTTCCTTTACAGGATAAGTTCATTAATTTATTAGTCTTCTATTATCACATGGCAAATTACCATAAATTTAGTGACTTAAGACATGTCTTCTCTCATTTTCCATGAAGCAGAAGTTTCTGGGCTTAGCTTAGGGATTTCTCTACATAGAGTCTCACAAGTCCGCGGTCAAGGGCTGAGTTCTCATCTGGGGGCTTTACCTGGGAAGGGCCACGTCTAAGCTTCCTTAGGTTGTTGCCAGAATTTATATTTTTGCGGCTGTGAGGATGACTCTTGGCTGCCCTGGCTTCCTGCCAAGGCAGTTCACAGCATCACAGCTAGCTTCCTCAAAGCCAGCGGGAGAGAGGGAGTGTGTCTGCTGGCAAGATGGGGTCCATCACTTGTGCTGCATTTTGTGGCTTAAGCGCAGCTCAGGCCCTGCCCACACTCAGGGCTGGGAGGCACACAGGCATGGACACCAGGAGGCAGGGACTATGGGCCGCCTTAGAGTGTGTCCATCCCAGTGACTAGTATTGATATGTTGGCGTCTCTGTTTGCAGATTATTCCCCTATACATAATTGAATATCTGCTGAAGCAAAAATGGGAACATACTGATAATTTGCTTTGTGATTGTTTAAGGTCAGTGTGTGTAGGTTCACGTCTTCTCTTGTACGGTACCCCACTGACTTGAGTTCATCCATCCTATCTCATCAGAGATGAAGGCTGCTTGGGGACTGTACCACATCTTCCCAGGATGCCCCAGAAGGCTATGGGAGTGCCCCTTTCCTCACACTGCCCCAGTGCTGACTGGGAGTCTGTTGAGGTCCACAACTCATGACTAAGGTGCATGCTGACACTAAGTAGTCCTCTCGTCTCTTCCCTTCCCTTGCCCCTCTCAGATAAGAAGGCTGACTGCACCATCACAATGGCGGACTCGGACTTACTGGCTCTAATGACGGGCAAGATGAATCCCCAGTCGGTAAGTACAAGAAGCAGGTGTCCTTCTGGTAGGTGGGTCTTTTTAGCCCTTCCCACTGCCTCAGCCTCAGGCCTAAAGTACCAAATAGTCAAGGCCAGCCCAAACGCGGGTCCCCCAAGCTATGCACTCGACAGATGACAAGCCCCTGTGGAACAAGCTCTGGATCAGACACCGCTGTGGGTGTCGGGCCGACCCCTATGAATAAGAAGCAGTTCACATGCTCAGGGCAGCCACGGTTTGGTGGGAGACAGACCTTTAATGAGTCAGGTCAGCCAAGAGCCCAGGGGCCCATGCCAGACTGGGGGAGGGCTTGGATGAGAGAAGGGCAGCGTGTCTTCCAGAACCATCAAGGCAAGCCATGAGCCGAGCCTCAAGGGTGGTCATAAGGCAATGCTGGAAAGGCAGCACGTTCCAGGTGGAGGCAGCCATGTGAACAAGCGTTACATTTCAGACCTCTGTCCTTTGCTTTGCATTTCCCTCAACAATTTCCATCACACACCTCGTCTTCGTCTTTCAAAACCCAGGAGCTTCGTCCAAGTTAGGGGGCAGTAACCAGGCCTCTGCCATGCCTGTTTCCACCTCCACCAATGTCAGCTCAACAAAGGAAGGACCCACCGAGTGTTCCTCTTTGTCTTCCTCAAGCCTAGCACTGCGCCTGACGGGCCCAGGTTTCCAGGAGACAGTTGGTGGATTAAGCTTACTGACAACGGTACAGGCACCGGAAGCAGATGGCCCTGCCACCAACATCTTCAGGGGGTCCCTGTGTACCCTAGTCGCACGGTGTTGAGCCCAACGTCACACGCTTACTCTTGGGGACAGCCCGGAGGACAGACAAAGAGGCAGAGACGCTACTTCCCACGCTGTGCCTTCGCTATCGGCCTCAAGCCCGTCCCTCGCCCTTCTCGGACGTGTGGATCCCTGTTAACACCCAAAGGCCTTTGCAGGGTTGGAGCAAACGAATTCTTATGCCCATGCAAAATGCCTTTTCTGAGCTCTGGGGCATGCGCCGGCTGATGCCAGGACGAGTGAGGGATCTGCACCTGTGACATGTTCAGTGGAATACGTCGGCACGCTGTTTCCACCCAGAGCCTGTTCCAGAAACCTGCCCAGAACAGAGGCCACCAGTGTAGGAGCTGGCCGCCACCCCCGTCCCCCTTCCCACTCACTGCTCCCCGCTCCCAGGGCCCTGCACGCACAGGCACAGCTTTGGCAGGAGGTCACACATCATGCACATCGGCCTAGGCCCCCGCCCTTTTTTTGCTGGGTCTGGAGGAGGTGTGTCAAGGTGCCAGCTTATTTGTCTTGAACACCTGTGAACACCCAATGGAATTAAAGATCAAGGAGGGTGCAGATCTTTCCATTGATGTGCTCATGGCCTCCCCCTGGTGCTCTGTCCAGAGGATTTGACTGGACACCATTAAGTTGGTGGAAATTCTCATCCCAGTGTTTGGCTCCGGTTGAACTCAAGCCCTGCGCTCTCCACCAGAAAGCACAGAAACCCCTAGGGGCCAGATTCAAGTGGTCCTTATGTTTGGATTCTCTCAAGAGAGGAGATCCATGCTTTCTCTATTAATAGTAAATAAATCAGTTTCTCTTTCCATCAATCCTAGTCTCTTCTAACTTGAATGGGAAGATGGTGACTTGTTCATTACAGAACGACTGGGCTATGTTTTTAAAGGACATATGGTAAATATATCGTGTTCTGAGACATCTGACCTTTAAATCATCAGACAGAAGGCTTTATGCCATATAGAAGGGAAATATTTAGTTTGTCCAGACAGAGGGGGGCTGGGGGAAGAATTAGTCACTCTTACCAGGAGGTGTCGAAAGGCAGAAAGATCTCTGTATCCCTTGGAAGGTGCAGGAGAAAGAGTCTCTGGCTTCTTACTGTGTCTGCTTAAACAGCCAGGGCTCCCAGAAGCTTCCCACCTGGCCTCTTCTGATTTTAAGAACAGAGCTCCTCGTCGCAGGAAATCCTGCCATGTTCCCAATGTTGCTGTTTCTCTGAAGTTTTCCCGGGATTTGGTCACATGGTGGGGCTAGCAAACACCACGTGCTCTGGTGTTAAAGTGCTACAAATTGTGGCACTCACTTCAGATCCGGGTCCGCCTGCCCTGCGCCAGAGTAACACGTGCCCCTTCTGAGCGGTCTGGCCACCAGCAGTAAGTAGGGAGAGGCCCTCCGTCCTGTGGACCCCAAATGCCAGTGGCATTTAATCCACGTTGCACCGGACCCCAAGAGTTGAGTAAGCAGGTTTCACATGCACTCTTTCTCCCGGCAGATTGCTGAAAAGTTCAGTCCGTCTTCCTGACCCACATGAATCGTTTTCACACAAAATAAATCTAGCATGAGCCTACTCTGTCTAATGTGTGGGAAATGTACCCCCCTCCGAGGGGGGCGGGTAAGAGGTGGGGGTTAACATGTGAGGGAGACCCTGGAAAAGGGTCCCTTTTGACTGCTCTGTGGTAAGCGTGGGTTTTACCGTCTTCCTCTGAGGCATGACGTGCTAATTCTCCTCCAGAAAGCCAAGTTCCAGACTTTGAAGCAACCAATGGAAGTGACCCGAATCACTAATGGCCTGTGGGCCGTACAGTCTAGAAATAGCCGCCACCCTGACCACCCCCCAGTAACAGACTTCCTTTCTCCTTTCTCACAGGCCTTCTTTCAAGGCAAACTGAAAATCACCGGTAACATGGGGCTGGCTATGAAGTTACAGAATCTCCAGCTTCAGCCGGGCAAAGCTAAGCTGTGAAGAGCCCCACCTCTGGCCGCTGCCTTTGAAAATCAGCCTGAGATGCGTAGAAATCAATTCATGTATTTCCTTGTCAGAAAGTAGACAGAAGCTAAGCGTCGACAAATAACCCGGGGTAGGTTTGTTCTTAAATGAGTGTGACCGAAGCTGGCTGGTTTGTTGTTTTCTCTCCTAAACGCTGGGTGGATGGAGTCCGGCCGGCGGCTTGCTGTGCATTACAAAGTTAATATGGTAATTATGGTATGAGGTAACACTGCGCTTCAGGACAAAATCAGGAACAGTAAAATCCCAAACTGTGTAAACAAAGGCTCTCATTTTGCTTACAGAGGATATTTAAGGATCACCCTGCTGCAGATTCAATTTCGGAGTTTTCCTTGGGAGAACTTGGGAAGAACCACCCCGTAGCTGCCCAGGAACGAGTGCTGTGCACTCACGCACCAAATCTGTTTTCCACTGATAGTTTTCAAAACTCTCAACCGGGGTTAAAATACGATGATTTCTAATTTTGCTGTTCTGTGCACTCAAAATGATGGTTTTTTCTGCCCAGAGCCACTAAATATCCGTAGACCTTGGGAGAAAACAAAAGAAAGCTATAGCTTAGCATAGTCCTTTGTGTAAATAAAGAAAGCTATTTTCAAGAAGGTTTCCCTTTTTGAAAAACGCCGTGTATTTAAGTCACGAACCACCGTGGGGACTCACTGCACAGAGGACAGTTCCTTTGACATGCACAGCTTTCAAATGATAATCGGTTCCTTGAACTAAACCTGTGAAGCTCTTAGCTCTTCATTATAGAGTTTCCTTTTTTCATAGACATTTCCTTTCATTGATGATGCTCATTTAATTAATCTTTCCCCCTGATTTTTCTAATGCTGATGTTACTATTTCCTATAATGAGATATGGGGTAAAATAATGCTCTGGAAAGAATCTTTAATAAAAACGAAAACAGCTTCCCCGGATCGTCTCTGTTTGTCTTGTGCTGTGCTTCTCTTGCTCGGAGTGTTCTAGAAGGAGCCCGGGGGTGGAGGTGGGGGTGGGGTGTACAGGCTGTGGGTCTTCCAGACGTTCTCTACGAGCTACGTTCACATCATCACCTGTTCTTGCTTCGGGAGGCAGTGTGGTTCAGTGGGAAGAGCATGTGACCAGCCGCTGGGACACTTGTTCTCTTGGTCAAATAGATACCAGCCTGCCTGCGTCTGCCATCACAACCCGAACCAGACTCTGCTACCCAGTCAATTTCGACTCATGATGACATTTTGGACAGAGTTGACCGCTCCTGTGGGTTCCAAGTCTGTAACTTTATGGAAATAGAAAGCCTCATCTCTTCCCTCAGGGACAGTGGATGGTTTCAAACTGCTGACCTCGTGGTCAGCAGCCCAGCATGTCACCCACTCTACCACCAGGGCTCCTTTAAACAGTTCAGAGAGGGGCTCCAAATAGAGGGTGTCTAAGATGCCTGCTCTCAGAACCAGGCCAGCTTTTCTCTTGTTGACATGGTACTTCACTCATGAGTGGCCGGGACTCACAATCCGTTTGTTTTTATTTGAAGCCTGTGCTGAGATCATTCAACATGCCCCATGACCATGAGAACAGCAGTGGGTTGACTTAAGCTAGGATTACACTGGTCTCCAGCCCTACAGAACTCAGAACATAGGCCCTAGTGCATCACCATCATAGCTGAAAAGAGAAAGACTTTAAGAAAAATGTCCTCATGAAATGTCTGGTCTGCCATCGCTTTTGTTTGCAGCCGTTCTGCCCTGGCATGTCCTGGATGACAATAGGATGACTCTGGAATGGAAGTGTGTTGCTATGAGGGTGCCGTGTGTGTGTGTGTGTGTGTGTGTGTGTGTGTGTGTGTGTGTGTGTGCGTGCACGCTAGAAAGGCATTCGTGCTGATTGGGGGAGCAGTGTAACCCGAGGGAGGGAGAGGCACAGACCTGGCTTAAAAGGGCAGCTGGTACTAGCTCAGCAGCTTCAGTAGGCGGAGCCTCAGTTGCTGCATCTGTACTATGTACATTGACCTTCTAGGGCAGTGGTTCTCAACCTTCCTAATGCTTCAACCCTTTAATACAGTTCCTCGTGTTGTGGTGACCCCCAACCATAAAATTATTTTCATTGCTATTTCACAACTGTCATTTTGCTCCTGTTATGAATCGTCATGTAAATATCTGATATGCAGGATGTATCTTCATTGTTACAAATTGAACATAATTAAAGCATAGTGATTAATCACAAAACAATATGTAATTATATATTGTGAAATATTTATGTGTTTTTCGATGGTCTTAGGCGACCCCTGAGAAAGAGTCATTCGACCCCAAAGGGGTCTTGACCCACAGGTTGAGAACCGCTGCTCTAGGATGATGAGACCTCTGAGCAGTGTTTCCCTAAGTGGGCAATCCCACCCTGAGGTGGGGGTGCTGGAATGATCCAGGGGGTGCCTGCAGAAGCAGATGTCTACATCCTATCCTGGACTATGGGCTATAGTACAAAAGTTTTTACTTGCCAGGGGACACTGAGTGATTTTTTCTGAAAAGAGGGCAGCAGACGAACTATGGGAACTTGTTGCAGGGAGATCATATATGTAACATCCCAAAGCCATGTTGGGGGCATTGTTAACCATTTGGTACATCTTAATTCCCTTACTCTTCCCTCTTGCTCCACCCTTACCCCCCCAACTGCTAACACCTCCCTGTCTGAGCTAAGAGTATGAGCCACTCAAAACTTTCTTCCCACTTGTTACACACTTATGCCCTTTGCTATTTGGGGAATGTGTACGACACAGAGGCACAGTGCTAGATATGAAAGAGCGTGCTGAGTTCCTCCAGCCTGGTGCGTGCCAGCTAGTGGGAGAGACAGGCTCATCAGAGATGTGAACACAGACAGACCGTGGCAGAGGAAATGCTCACTGTGCTGTGACAGCGTCTCAATGAGGGAGCCTTCTCGGATAAAGTAGACAAATGCAGTAAACAGAAATCACAATTTTACATCCACTGGGGCCATTCCTCAGGATAGGGTGCTCTGACTAGCTGTTACATTGACTCTCCAGGACGCCGATGATGTAAAAGAACATTGAAAAGTTTCCCTCGGCCTGACCTATCTGGTTGTTCTAAAATGTTTGCAGCTTCTCAGTCGTCATCTAACTTCAGACTGCCGCAGCCTGAGGTCGAAGAAAAGTCCATTTATGTGTGGCTTTTTTCATTCACTGCCATGGAGGTGATTCTGACTTACAACAACCCTATAGGACAGGGTAGAACTGCCCCTGTGGGTTTCCGAGACTAATTATTTATGGGAGTAGAAAGCCCCATCTTTCTCCCATGGAGCAGCCGGTGGTGTGGAACTGTAGACCTTGCGCATCGCAACCTAACTCGTAACCAGGACTCCTTACTGCACACCTGTAAAAGGCCACGTGACCTTGTGGGTCCTCATATGCATTTGTGTTCCTGCTGCTGTCAGACTCCCATGTCTAGAATCCTTGTGGAGTTGGGAGTGTGTAGAGGAACAGCCATGGCAGGGGGACCGGGAGGTCGGTGTGGAGGTGGAGATGGGAAGGAGTCGGAGTCACTCAGGTGTGTCCAGAAGCATCTCTGAGCACGACTCAGGTGGATCCTGTCTCTGCCACTTGGAGATCTGGTTACCAGAACCAGTTGCTGATGAGAGGGGTCCACCCCAGGGGCCTCCCGTGGTTCAGGAGAGAACTGTACTCCCAGAAGCAGATAGGCAAGCCTTTCCTAGGTATCTCTGGGTGGGTTCAAACCACTGACCTTTCCGGTGGTAGTCAAGTGCTTCTGCCACCCAGGGCTCCAGAAGCGAAGTGAGAGCCGGCCCCTGAAACTTTGCAGTCAGCCAAAGGAGGGGAGCAGCCCTCACTCGACGGTTCTCAACCTTCCTCATGCTGTGACCCTTGAATACAGTTCCTCATGTTGTAGTGACTCCCCCCAGCCATAAAATTATTTTCGTTGCTACTTCATCACTGTCATTTTGCTACTG